TTAATTGACAGATTTTTCCAGCTCTACACCAAACACAATCTAACAAATCAAACAACCTCATCAAAATGGAGTTACACAATAACAATATAAAGTCCCTAGTTTTCAATTAGGAATCAGGGCCAGAGCCAAAAAACAACAACTAAATAAATAAACAACAACAATTAAGTTAATCAGTAAATAAGTGAAAGCTGTTACCTTGTAGCCATTGTCTTGTTTGGGGTTGTGAGAGGCGGTCACCATAATACCAGCACACAGACCCAGGTGTGACACTGTGAAAGGCTGCAGGGAGCAGAAGAGAAGTAAGTCACTTTTCCAATACACTCAAAGATCATACGGACTGTAATATACAGTATACAGCAAGCACACAATGTGAGAGAAAAAAATACAAGAAAATGTTTAATCTGTTTTTGCTGCAGGCTGGAATGGAGGCAGGGTGGTCCTTGTGTAAAATAACTTTATTGTTCAGAAAATTTCTGTCCACAAGCTAACATCATTTTGAGGGACTGAGGAGAGTAACATTCAGCATTTTTCTTTTTTCTTTCTGTTAGAAGAAGCATATCCCTTGCTGTGCTTCCCACAGACATCCTCTACCATAAACAAACCTACTTATTTACTATAAACTTTAATTAATGTCTTCTTTGAGGAAAACATGCACGAGGACATAAAATCTAGGTAAAAGTCAGTGAAACTAAAGTATAAACTGGTCGACTGTTTTACAAACTGTGTGTTGTAAAAGAAAAAAAGACCAATGTGAAGTGTCTTGCTCTCTGTTTCCACAATTTCATCATCATAATGAGTAGTGAGAGTGATGAAAGAGGCTGACAGTCATCCTAGGTGGCCTCAGATTGGATTTTTCATAGTTTGTGTCTATGGGTCATTCTTTGTTTAAAGTTGCCCCTCAAAATAAGCTGCTGCACACATTCACACCTAAAAAGTTGTGTCACCACCATCAAAGGAAAGGCAGATAAAGTCTTTGGGTTGGGATTTGCAAAGATTGAAAACTTTTTTCCTACTATATTATCATAAGAAAGTACAGCTATACACTATACTATAGGAATATGCATAAATGAAAGGTACTACTGCAAGATACAATACCTACATAAATTACACATGTAGCGCACAACAGATGATCCACATAGCATAGCAAAACAATTTTATTTAAATTTATTGTTATCAATATAGTGGGGGGGCTTATTGAAGTATTGGGAGGATGTGTCCCCCCCAATTTATATTATAATTTGGGTAAGGATGTCAAAACGATTGATACTCTCTTCCTTTTTCCATACCATGTGTTTAAAATGATACTACCTCCGATAATTGTACATTTGATAGTATCAATTGTACCAAATGTAAAAAAACAAAAAACAAAACAGGTCTACAATTAGTTTTCCAACCCAAGGCTGCACAGATGAAATAACAGGCAAGAAAATCAACTGGTCCTCAACCTGCAACTGTTTTAGCATTCTCTCCAGCAAACAACCAATCACATGATTGGAGGCGTGTGTTAAGTGACTTTTTCTGTTGCAGCACTGCATGCAGGTTGTTAGAAATACATATTTATTATATTTTGAATGCTTAAATTTTTTTCTTATTTTGCCATGGTATTGAAATAGGTATCGAGTGTCATTTTTTTTATACTTCTATTGTCTCCAAGTTTAATATCACAACAGTATTGGCACCTGGTGTCAATATCAGATCTTTGTCTGGACTGCATTAAGGACATCTTGTATGGTTTTATCCATGTAAGCACAGGCACGAAATCATGTGAATGTTCACAAGTTTTAAACCGAGTATAATGTGGTGAATCCTATGTGTTATGCAACCTGCAGTACACAGAGGAGAAGTGTACTTTTTGAATGGAATTTGCCCTGTTGCTTCTTTCCCACTGTCACTTGCTCCACCAACAAACCTGACACCAGACATAAGAATGTGGTTTCTACCATAAACCTATTCTACAAATATGATATTAAGCATGTTTAAAATGTAATAGTAAGTAGTGATATAGTACTTCTGTTTTAAGGTATAACATCATCTGTGACTGTGACTGCAATGTCAAAAAACCCAAATGAGACATAAGAATGTGGTTTCTACCATAAACCTATTCTACAAATATGATATTAAGCATGTTTAAAATGTAATAGTAAGTAGTGATATAGTACTTCTGTTTTAAGGTATAACATCATCTGTGACTGTGACTGCAATGTCAAAAAACCCAAATGAGGAAATTACAGAAGTTCAAGTAATTACCACAAAGGGAGTAGGGGTGATGTCGGAGAAGAGGTGGACAGGAACCCCTCGGCTGATGAACACAGCTGCAGCCAGGCTGGCAAAGCGCTTGCTGCTGCCCCCGCTGGGAGGGTGGGCCCGGGCGTCGTACCCAATCACCACCCCTCGCTCCTTTAGGTTATCAAAACTCTCCTCCAGGTAGTGACAGAAACCCTGTGAGGAGGAAAAGATAAAGCTTTGGTTTAATTTGCAGTGGACAACATTAACAACAGCTACAAGAAGTCGTTGAGAAAAGAAGCTGCACTGAGATCCTACAATGACTTGTAACAAAATGGTGGCATGTGAGCCACGCAGTCAAGTGTCTCAACTTTTTCAAAAAGCAGACTCCATACTGTGTGTGTCTGGTGTTGCATGTGACTTTACTTGTGGTCCGAGTTGATCTGTTAACCAACCTGTGTGGTCTGGATGATAGTGAGGTCATTCATACAGGATGTGCCAGGGCCCATGGCTGCTCTCAGACCTGCTGTACCAAACTCCATCCTGGAGGAGAAACATTTCTTCAGAGCCTCCACCGCTCCTTCTTTCAGCAGGTCCTTCACCATAGACACCGTCTTCGGGTTCTGCAAAAGAAAACATGCCCACATTTTAAAAGGAGTAAATCCAACATTTACATAAATTCATTAAAAAACTGTAATGCAGAGGTTACAACTAGAGATCAGGTTAGGAAAGTCGGTATGATTTCTAATCTAACATTTAGAAATCCAGTTTTAGTCTTCAGTTTATGTAACTTCCTAGTGCTGCCAAGTGGTTTGTTTTGCATTCGCTATGAAGTTTGAGTTGTTTTACTTTTACCACTATCACACATCTGTGGCCATGACTACTGCTGAAATGTAGCTGAATGGCAGAAATGTTGTTATTATTCTGTTGCCATTATAAAGCTGTTTTAAGTGACATGAAAATATTTTTATTTTATGTCAGTCAACTCACTGATTGACTGTTTTAACTCTAACTCAGACTAGTGACAGACAGTGCTGATGATATTTGTCCTCCTGAGTGACTTACCAGCAAAATCCTGGTATTTTTTAATCAACTGCGGTGCATTTTGTTGTGAATACATGACTAGAGAAATAGTCTGGCTACAAATGACAACCGTAAATACAGCAAGTGGGTCCATGTGATGCTTCCTACTTAAATAGCCCACTGAGCAAACTGCCATAACCCAATTATACTAAGACTAATGATCCGTGGACCCTTTTCCAGTGTGACCTGATTGGTGGCATCCCCTGTCGTTTTAAGACCATGAATGACTTGGTTTGTATCGGTCAGTTGGCCGGATGCTCAATAGAGGGGTAACACATCTGTGTTCACTTTAATACTGTGCGATCTTTTTTCCTGTGAAATAACTAAGGACCAGTGTGCCGGTCTGTGTGTAGGAAGAGCAGTCATTTTGATTACGACAGCAATGACAAAGAGGAAATGTGGCGTATTAAAATTTTATATTTGTTTAATGTATTCACAGCACAAACTATCAGGACTGTCTTTAATGGTAAATAACATAAACTGACACTGATACAAGAAGGTAATGCTTTATTTTACAGGTCCGCATTTTATATTTTCCCTGGAAGTGTAATGAGAAAAGACCATGTAATTTGTCACGCTCCACACCGTTAAAATCACTGCAGTCATGGTCTGACCCAACATTCAATCACTTATATAACGCCAGGTAACAAGCTCACAGACTACAGTGGGGACCGCCACAGCACATTAAGCTAGCTCGCTAGCTGACAGCTTACCTTGTCATACTGCAACCACTGCTTCACAGCCTGGTCCAGAGTGGTGTCACCGGTTGTGGACACACCGTTCTCCATTTCCCTTCTTTACCGAGTCAAGACTTTGTCCAGCTCACTAACTATGGTCATACGAGGCGAATACTCTCACCCTGAAGCTTTTTACAACACTATAAGAGAAGTGCTGCTGTGGATATATCCACTTGTCTGTCCACAGTGCGGGGCGGAGCGACGTAATGCGTCACGAGTTTCTCATCTGTTGCCTTCATGGGTAGCCGCAAATGTGGTAATTAGGGAATACTATGTATGAGGGCTTCACTGACTGTTTCAACAAGTGGAAACGTAGCCTGAGTACAGCAACATCTCTGTGGTGGAAGTTAATAGAGTACATTTAATCTTTTAACTACTACTTTTCTTTTTTTGTTATTGTTTATTATACCTTATCAGACAAAGCGCTTTATATTCACACACACATTCATATGCCATGAGTGGCGGAGTTGTCATACAAGGCGCTGGCCTGCCCATGAGTAGCAACCTGGGCGTCTCCCCAATCCCAAATGGATCCCTTACAGACTTCCCCTCACGTGAACGTGCAAAACCAAGGGGAAGGGCCAAGACAAGGGCTAAGGGGAAGAAATGGAATTGGTCCTTGGTCTGTAAGGGTTTAGGGCTTGAGTCAACGAGTCTGTAAGGGATCCATTTGGGACTATCTTGCTTAGGGACACTTCAACATGTGCACAAGAGATGGAGATCGGACTGCCAACCCTGTGCTTTCAGGATGACTCATTCTACCTACTGAACCATAGTGCCCCAAGTTGAAGGTTGCTTTTTTTACTTGTGGCCAGTAATGAAAGCAGTGAGTGTTAATAAAGCTACAACATCTTTGTGGAGCATGCTAATGATACGCTTTAAAGATGACTGATATCTCATAGCTTACAACCATACAGGTATCTCATCTGGTGGGGCGGGGGAAAAAAGACATTTACAGACCAAAGCCAAATGATTTTAATGATTCATCTACATAAATTACATCAGAAATGCAATGTGAATAATTATGGAACAGGTACTGAGTAAATAAACCAGTGTATATAGGTCTTAGATGAGGCATACAAGTGATGCAACTGGTTTCTTTAAACTCAGAATTAGACAAAGCAGATTCAAGTTGTTGTTATCCAAGTGAATTCAGCCAGTCAGTAATCATGTTATCAAGCAACCGTCTGTTACTCCTTCATGTTATGTTACTAAGGTTTCATCATGTCATATCCATAACAAATAAGACCATGTACAACTGAATTTAAAAAGGGGATAGTAAAAAGTTAATACTGTCAGGGCTGCATGTCAGTGATATATTGTACCCAAATCACAAAAGAATTGTTGAGTTGACTATCTGCAGATTTGCATCAAACATGACAGAGGTATTTACAGTATGCTCATATATTTAGATAGTTGACAGATGAGTGAGTGTTCCAGTTATAAGTGGAATTTTTCAAGGGATTTTTTAAAAAACATTCACCTTCCTTTGGTTCCAACTGCAAACAGCGGCAACAATCTAAAGACTTGTGTTTAGAGCAGAGACACTGAAATTATCTTGGTGTACTTCAAAGAAAGGAGTCTGTTAATAACTCAAATCTATTACATTTTCTTTTTGCCTTAAATAATTACTGATCTGACTGTATGAACTCTTAACTGGGCTCTTAACTGTCCAAATATATCAAAAGTGACTGATGGGACAATGACACCACTGTCTGAACGGGGGTGATAATCCTCTGATGGAGAATGTGAAAAAGCAGCCCGGACTGTGGTATCAAACACAAAAGACCTTTTTTTAAGCAGACATGTTGACACGTTGTCAAAGTAGAAAAAGCACAGGTGGAACTAATTATATTAAATGATAGCTTTGCAGTTTGTAGGTTTATCTTTAAACAATCACCAGGTGCCGATATAAACATTAAAACAGGTTCTGCTGTTTATAATAATCCATTCTGTTTATATTGGAATTAAAAGGTGCTTTCCAAATGTACTTCCAGTGTAGGTGATGGGGGTCAAAATCTGCAATTTTTAGCAGTCTGAGTGGCAAATTATATTTATATATTCAAAAGTTACTGTCTCATTAGTACAATTTTCACTCCTTTAGTTTCACTGGGCACTGTCTTTCTGTTCAGTGACAGTAGAGAAATTCTAATAACAAAAGAGGAAATTCAGTTCTAAAAAGAGAGTAACTTTGAAGATATCCACTTGATTTGTCTAACTCAGACTGCTGAAGCCCCACAATAATTTCAGATAAACTTTTGAATACACTTTTGAACAAAACACAGACTGTAAATTTCGTCCACCACTCACTGAGGGTGCATTAAGAAGCAATCTCACTTTGGAACCACTATGAAGAGGAGGACAGATTTTTGCAAGAAAAACCTGTTCCAATGTCCACATGGATTCCTAACTTTTGCTTTATGACAAAATTGAACTAGAATTTCCACCTTGCAATTGTATGCCTTCGCAAACCAGTCAAGTTGCAGTTACAGTTTACATCCATGTCTGTCCAGACTCCTATGTGGCCATGACAGCTGACTATGTTTCATACATGGATGTTGCTGCAAAGAAGCTACATATTCTCAAATGGGAAAGCTTCACACTCATCTTTAAGCTGGCAGCAAAAAATATCTATACAATCAGCATAGTTTCAAGGTGGGCACCTAAGATTAGTGTCACAAATTAAGTATCTGACCAAATGTCTCCCCTTCTGTTCCTGAGTTATGACATTAGGCCTTCTTGAGATGTCGCATTCACGAGAATGAGACTGACACAAGGCCACAGTGACCTTGACCTTTGACAATCAAATTCTATTCAGTTCATACTTGAGTCCAAGTGGACATTTGTGCCAAATTTAAAAGGAGTTCCTTAAGGCCTCCTTGACACATCATGTTCACAAGAATGGGATGGACGAAAGGACAACACGAAGACATAGTGCCTCTGGCTATGGCTACCACCAGTGCTCCAGTAAGCCCTGACAATGTGACAGTGAGTCAACCTGCACAATACCAGGACCCTGAAGCTATAGCAGATAAATTCAGCCATCATCAATTTTATTCTTTACACCTGTGCTTTTCCTGCTGTGACAGGTCAAGAGGTCTTCTGTGAAAAAGGCCTCTGATCCCCATAGAGCAGCACTGGCAACTTCAACTGTTTTGCAGCAAGGACTGAATCAACAAAATGTCTGACATGTCCCTAAATGTCCTGTACACATAAGTAAGTATGCACTAGTCATGAAGATCGCAGCCACCCACACCTCAAACAAACTGATGCTATCTCTTGCGTTTCCTCTGTTTGATGATAAACAGGTTCTCATCTGTGGGGTACATCTGTGAGGGAAGCTTTTTGTCAGCGTTCCCCTGGACTCGATTTCCCCTTTTCCTCTTTCCTTTCTCTTTCTTTGACATCGATGCCTGCTTCTCTCCAGTTACAGTCCAACAGAGGCGGTCTGGTCTGCTCTCTCTTTGTCCTTCTGGTAATGTTAGAGAATCTCGCTTCCTTTTCTTCATCCTATTCTTCTTCTTCACCATGTTATCTCCTTTACCTCCGCCTCTGGGAAAATCATCTGCTTCATCCAATATTAATTTAGTTTTTGGGAGGGGGTCTTTCGAGGTGGGCACTGGTCTCTTGGGTTTCCATGGTTTCACATTGCCAGTGCTTTCCCGTTGTTTGTACTTATTGTGTTTATTCGTTTTGGGTGCTGCAGCACCAAAGTCATGGTTGTCATTAAAAAAGATATGGCTGGATTTGGGTTTGGGTTTGTGGTTGTGGTTGTTAGGACTTTGGTGAGGTGTATGGTTGGGCTGGTGGTTCTTTTTGTGATGGCTGATTTTCTGTTTCTTCTTTGGCGGTCCTGGAGTGAGAGGGGTCTGAGAGCTGGCAGATATAAGGCCTTTTCTCTTCAGTTCTGAAAGAAGAAGAAGAAAAAGAAGAAAAGTTGTCGCTGTTATGTTATAGCCTTGTTATATTTATCTTTTAAAAAAAATTGTACTTGTATGCCCTCAAAGTCAGTTTTTCATGATGTATCAAATATCAATATTTTCCAAGGTATTTTGTTAAATTTAGAAATTCCAGTATCCTGACAACACTTTTAATTACCTACTGATCACAAATGAGGCAAATTCAACAGAAGTGTTAATTTGGGTTTCATGTCATATTACAAATGTCCATCAGCTGTTGATAGTTCCACCAAAGAGACTTCTCTTCTAAACTTCTCAGACGGGTTCAGAACGATACTTTTACTTTTGATACTTTTAAGTAAATTTGTCGATAAGACTTCTGTACTTTAATTAAGCAGGAATTTAAATGCAGTCGCTTTACTTATAATTTGGTATGTTTACATTGATGTTCTGGAACTTTTGGTAAAGGATCTGAATACTTCTTCCACAACTGTCTCCAACAAACACATCAACTTTTTATGGTACTAGAAGGCCACCGCAAAGAGAAATGTGATGACTGCAGTCATAATGTTTGTGTCTGTGAATTTCTGTGTCACTTACCTTCAACCTTCAACTGTGTTCTGTACTCTCTGCGATTGATGTCATCGACAGTATCATAGTGGTTGATGAACGGGGTGCTCGGATACGTCCCATTAAACATCCTCTTCCATCTACATGCCTGATGAAAACAATAATACAAGTTGGGAAAATAAAAGATACATGGCATCGCATTAAAACAGAAAGTGGACAGAAACTGTGTAATAGATCCTCCTTTCATTACACTACATTATCCCTACATTAATTCTGTAGAGTGTGCCAAGTTATTGTGATTAGGGATAGGCCGATATGGATTTTTTAGGGCCGATGCCGATACCTATTTTTTTCCATCACCCTTAGCCGATGACCAATTATGGACTGCCGATTTTATTGAGCCGATATTTGGGGCCGATACTGCTTTTGCTCCCTCAATTTACATAAAAAAAATGACACAGTGATAACAAATATTACAGGTCTCAAGTTTAAAATAAGAAACATTTATTGAACAGTAAAAAATACTAAAACAAGATGGAAAGTTGAGGTAGAACAGGTAGAATATTATTATTATTATTATACATTCAAATAAAAAAGAGTTCAGTGCTCTTAAATCTTCCAGTAATGTCTTTATAAAATAAACAGATATTTAAGCTGAAGCATAAATAAAACAACAACTACTGTACACAGTAGGATTCAACAGCTTTGTTCAACTTAACCACATACTTTCAAATGAAAAAAAGTGCCAGGGAAAAATAAATCCGCGAACCCACGCGCGTATCGGCCGATGCCAATACAAGTAAAAAAACTCAAATATCGGCCCTATATATCGGCCGGCCAATGTATCGGTCTATCCTTAATTGTGATCAACACCAATGGAGCTAACTTTGTCTTGAAACTTTTATAATATTTTTGGGCATATTTGTCTTTTTTTTGGTAGTGATGATAGACAGGAGACAAGAAATAGGGGGAGAGAGGGAGGGAGGAGGGATGGTATGCAAGAAAGATCCTCGGCCGATGGTCAGTGTTTTTAATCCCAAGGCCAACAGGTCACAGATTTCGGAAATAATTTAACCAGTTTAATTATTACAGGAGTTGAAGTGTTAAACTAATGCACACTCTATAGACGTCTGAGGAAGATGAAACCATGTGGTGGCAAAGATTGATGTCTGACAAAGGTCCATGACCAAAATGTCTAATAAAATAATTTCTGACAGTGTGCAGGATTTTAACATTTTCTTACGCACTGCACAGTGCAAAAGTTAAAATCTCACTGCATGGCAAATCTCTAGAATACAAGCCTGATGAGCAAACCTGAAGAAACTGGATATGAAACACATAAATTGCTTCAAACAGCCCTCTTATCATGCAAAAACAAGGCGAACCTTATCATTCTGGGCTTTATTTTGGCAATGAGAAGGATGCTAAACGGTAAATAGCACCACAAGAAATTTACCCATTTGTGCACACAACTGAAATTTTAAATTTCCTTTGGTGAAAGTGTTCACTTGCCTATCACAAATCTGGAGAAAATCTTCAAAATTGGTCAAACCGTGTGTTTAAAAAGTGAGTTTTGAATCTCAGGAACTACAATGAGCACAATTAAGAATTTTATGTCTGTGATAAGTAATAAGTAGAAAGTCAAAGAGGATATACACACATATGCAGTGTAACAAAAACATTTCATATAGAGGACATTTAATAAACAGAATGTAAGCATTTTTCCTAATCTTTCAAAAATCCTGATTTTGACTAAAAGTGGGATTTTTCGTGTGATGTAAAATTGTCAAAGTTGAATTGTTAAGTATTTGCCGAAAGTATTTTCATACCGGAATTCAAGACTTAACTCAAACGTTGTGGCATTTTTTCTCATCATACTGAATACAGTCTTTCAGCACAGGCAGTAAAATAACAATAAGACAGTGAGAGTTACTCACGTGGCCAAAGTGTTCTTTCCTGGAGCAGTTGTAGCAGTAGGCTGGGCTTCGACCCCGGTCTTCTTTCCGCTGCTTTACAGGAGGACCTGACTTAGTCTAAGCACAGACAGAGGAAATGAAAGGAGCTTGTTAAGAGGAAACCAAATCATTTTCTCTCTATAAAAAAATGTGGTGGTTTAACGTTCCATTTGTCTCCCATTCTCCCTCCTCTCATTCCCATGCTCTCTATTGATACGAGCTGCTGTGTATTGTACGGTGAATATGGGTGCTGATATAAACCAGTGATTACTGGGGCTATAGTTAGAGGCCTGTAATGACCCTGTATGATAAGTAACCGTGTGTGTGTGTGTGTTTGTGTGTGTGTGTGCGCATGTCTGTGTGCGTGTGTTGGACACAGGGTCCCGTCCCCTATGGGCCAGTGTTCTGAAAGCCTTCCATGCTCCAGCGCCCACAGCAAATATACACTGATAAAGAGAGAGAGAGGAGACACTGGCACAGTGCATTTACTGCTAATGTTACACACACACACACACACACACACACAGGCATGCATGCACACAGCTTCACACTCATCTAAGGTGCCCCCTCCTTTCTCTCTCAACCCTGATTCCGAGATTACAAATGATTTGTGCCCCACGTCATTTCTTAAACATAGCTTAGCTAACCTCCCCTCCTTTTCTTCCCCTCTCCCTTCCTCCTGCCTCCCTCTCTCCTCCTTACACACCCCTCCATCCCCACATCTACCCCTCACACTTGTTTTTTCCCCCCTCTCCCTCTCTCTCTTTTCCGCTTGAGTAGTTTTGCAGCAGAAAGGATGAATGCTATTAGAGCGTCGCGTCATTATCGGGTCAGGCCGGCCGGGCCCATCTCCATCACAAAGGCCAGGAGATCAGAGACCTCTTGCGAGTGCACACACACACACACACACACACACACACACACACGCGCACCCTAAGGAGATCACAGTCCCCGTCTCAAGCCCCCCCCCCCGACCTCCACCCTTCCTGCCCCTCTTCCCATTCATCTTTCATGTAAATTGGCTGTAGGTCTCCCTCTGTCTCTCCCTCCCTGACCTTGGGCTTGTGTTATCTCCACATACTCTGATCCAGCACATAGACAGAATGAATGAAAGCACGAGGGGGGGGGGGGGGCGGAAGAAATGAAATCCCCTCCTATTCTCCCATCAACCTGTGATAGTTGTCTAAAATGGCGTGAATGTGCATCTGCATGCGTGTGCGTGTGAGGAGTTGTCTGCCTCATACAATATTAATTAAGTGGATGAACCTTCATCCCTCTCTCATTCCCGCTCTCTGTTTTCATCCAGCTCTTCCTATCGGGGCATCTAAATTGCTAAGAGGGCCAGGGCCTGGGGGATCATATCAGTTTGGTGTCTTTCTCTTTACTTCTCAGGGGTTTGAAGAAGAGTCCTAGAGAGTCTGGCTGTGCAGTGAAAGTCAATATGACACAGGCATATTTTTGGATAGTTCTGAAAATACACTTTATCTTTGAGGTTTAGCTTCGACTCTCTCTCGACTACTATTCGTCTAAAAGGCAGAGGTAACATTGTAGGGTCACAAAGGAAAGCAAACAAGCCTGACAAATCCAACGTGCTAATTGTGGTTCACTCAATATTATGATGGTAATGCTCAATAAGCATTTCCTTTTTTGGGTCATGCATCAATATGAACCGTTTCTGTTGATTCTGATTTTTTTTTTTTTTAAAGCAAACTGTTTCTCCTTAAATACTCACCAAAATCAGTTTCTGAATATTTTTACTGTATATTTACAGGACCTGATTTAAACAGTTGTTGACCCAAGGTGTGGACTCAAGTCACAAGACTTGAACTCCAGTTAGACACGAGTCACAGATTCTTAAGACTCAACTTGACAAAATCAAAAGACTTGCAACTCGACTTCATTGGGACTTGAGCCTTAAAAGTGCTTTGCAAGTGCTTGAGCTTTAAAAACTGTGCCACAAATCAATTCATGGATGTTATTTTCTTGAATCAACTAATGTTAAAGCTAATAATTCCCAGCAAGATCGGCACTAAATTCTCAAAGTTCACTTTGTTTGAACCAGTCCCGCAACATTAAATCAAGATACAGGAGAGAACCATGAAGAACTAAGTGCCAGTTGGACAGAATGATACCAAAGATCATTTTATTAGCATACAATATTACACATAGTCAACAAAAAAATGAACTGCAGTTTGTAAACCATGCAGGTCAAAAATTACAGCAAGACTCAATAACTTCCAACTTTGTTCAGCATTTGAAGTTGCATAAAGAATGATAACTCAAGGCTTATATTAGCATACGTAGTTAGCAAGCTAATGTTTAGCTAACAATAGCTTAACAGTCAAGTCACTTTTTAAGATTTTTTTTAATTAAATAAAAACAAATTCTAAAAAGCATTCACTATTTATTCACTACAAATTTGTTATGTTATACTCTATTGTGGCATAACATTTGGTGAAGAGCACATTATGACTTTAGAGTTAACGTTCAAATAAACACAAGAAGTTTGTGCTCTAGAGAAAGGATAAGCTAATATGGCAAGGCTTAACTATACAAACTTATGAGCAGTGATAACTAGCATGTCTTTGGGGTCATCGGGTGGGAACCTTCTTTCATCTGTGTTTCTTCTAGTTTGTCCCACGACACCTCCAGGAGGCTAGACAGTGATCTCTTGCTTCCCAGAGACACTCCCCTAATGCCAGGTCTCACTGCTCCCCTCCCTGCACCAACCCAATAACCTCCTTTACTTTACTTACACATGGCTTTCTCAGCCCAAACAGCACTGCCACCTTCAACCAAAGGTGGCAGTATGTTAAAGACTCTAAACTCAAGTTTTAGGACTTGGGATTTTACTTGGGACTTGTCAGTCTTGACTTGGGACTAAAATTCAAAGACTTAAGACTTGCAAAACAATTACTTGGTCTGTTACTGACACCATTAAGGAGCTCTGTAGCGTAATGAGTCATGTGAACATCTGAATGACCTGCTGACTGGTCATTCGGCTTTCAGCTGATTCTCAGTGGATGTCTTACAGAGTGAAATCCTGTGGCGAAAACTCAGCTCACAAAATTTGGAAGGTGTAAGTAAATATTCAACATAGTAGATGTGAGTTGATAATTGTCTGGCTTGATCTCACTTTTATTATTACCTATACTGTTGCTGGAGAGCAGCCAGTGGTTTGTAGACCAGTAATGCTTCTGTTCTTATATTGGTAGTCATTATCTCTAATGTCCCATGTCTTAAAGCTAGATTATGTTTGCAACTAGTTCTTATGATGTAATGTCCAAACACGTCTGAGGCAATAGTGTTTATAGCTGTTTCAATGACCACACTTGAAAGGTGGGGTGAAGTGTCCATAAAAGAGAGGGGCGAGATGTGATAATTGTTCATATAAAGAGATAAAGGCTGACGCTTCAGACAGTCTTTCCTGGAAGGAATTCATAGTGCTGCACTTACCTGACACAAAAGTGACAGAAGCACAATGAAAACAGGACAGCTTATGAGTTCAAACCCTGCTCACTTCCTCACATCCACACAGCTCGCCAATCTCTGGGTGAAGTGCATGTGAATGTTGGATAGTCAATTTTGGAGTTTCAGAAATTGCTGGACACTGCATGTAGGGTAATTTACATTACCAGTACCAATATCAGTACCATTGAAGTGATAGTAATACCAATAGAGCTCTCCATTCGATACCTATCGTGTGAATGGAGTGCCGTGTAGTAGCCATACTTTCAAATGTTTTGGTGGCATCTCGGCACGCTGAATTGCCAACTCTGTTGATACACTGCGCTCGACTTTACTACACTACAGACAGTATGGGTTGTAGCAGCTGCTGCAGGAGTGTGAGCTCTGTGCTGGGGACAGTGACAAACAGTGGCAGGGCTAACAGTTAGCATCATACAGCTAATGTTACCTACCAGTTATTAAGGGGTGTAACAACAGAGTTGAGGGTTGGGAACTTTAAACGACTCGATGTTGGATGCTAGCTGCCGCTGCTATTTAAGATCATGCTAAGCACTGTTTCAGATTAACAAGAAACCATCTTAATTGGCAACTTTCAGTCAAATGCGCCTGCGGTTGTTTAAGTGATGACAGCTGTGAAAAACGGAAGGAGAATACATAGCTGTCCTCATGCAAAGAATGCCTCTTTGTTTAGCTTTTCGTTTCAATGTCAAAACACACCAGGCAGACGTTAAGCTGACACTGGGAGGGGAACGGCTCCAGAGATGGCAGCCACAGAAGGTTTGCTGATCCAGCAGGGAGTCTGGATGGTCCGGGATCAGACCCCCCCGCGCAAAAAGAATCAAATGTAGGTATCACTTGACTGGAGATGTTTAGATACTACTTTGTACTGGGTTATTTCAGTTGATGCCTTAAAAAGTATCAAGTACCAATACCCAGTCCTAAAGGCATCCATGTTTTTGTGTTATGTGAATGCTGTTTATGACAGGAATTAAATAAAATGTAATCTAATAAAATTGATTACTTACGGCTACATGTTTCCTGCTTTCCCAAAAGGAGCTAACCTCTCCATTCATAAACTTGCTTGACCAACAACTCTCAGCATTGGAGGCTGCATTAAAAATGTCTCTCTGTGTTTAACTAGTGCTCCTCTGAATGCAGAGACAGCAGGAGAGATCTGAGTCTGATCCACTTCCTGCTGATATGACATGAAGAGCTTCTGGAACTGTTCGGAGACACTTTGCCAGTCAGACAAAAGGGGCGACTGAAGCTGGAAGAGGACTGACGGTTTAGGATGTGTGTGAGTCTGAGTGTGTGTATGGGAGGGTGTTTGAGAAGGTCCTAAGGGCTTCACTACATGGACACAGACAACCAGCCATCCGTAGCCTCTCATGCATGCACACACAGACACATGAGCGTGCGCTCTCTCTCTGTCAAACACACACACATACACACAACCGTGTTTTCCCACAGTTGTCCCGACACATACACTGTGTCTCTCTAAGCCCCGCTCTCCTCTGCTCCTTGCCTTAGCTGCTGGTGGCAAAGCTGTGATAATCCTTCGGCCAACACAAAGCTCAGACTGTTACAGACTACAATCTGAAGGAACACAC